AGTGATGGTCGCACGACGATTGCGTCACGCGATTGCAAAAATCGAAAGTGTGAATGGGCCTTTGATTATTGAATAGAGAGGAATCTGGTTTGAGGTCAGTTGAGCTATAAATAGTTTAGTAAGCGCGTGTAAGCTAACACATCCTGCAAAGATATTTTAACTAATAATAAACATCATTTAAAACCAAGCTGTCATTCAATCTTATTTATGAAAATCGCCAAGCGTCTAATTGAAAACATGTAAAAGCCACACCCTAGGGCTGCAAAAATCACTGAAAATCGATCTAGAATTTGCACGACTTCCGAGGCATGTTTCATTTACAGCTGTTGTGCAAATATGTGAGCTCCGATCCATGCTTCACTCGTGGAAAGTCAGTCACTTTTGCGAACCGTAAAAAAACTCACTTTTTTACCCGGGCTTTTTTACTTTAAATTACTCAAACGGCTGCCTGTTTTCGAGCAAAAAGCCGGTAACAATCTGTTTTGAAAAGAAATTATTTAATTTTTGACAAATAGCAACAGTTGCAAACTGTACAAACCATAGCCTCACTTATATAAAAAGTTCACGATCGTTTCATTTGACGGTACATTTTCTCTCGTCAGTGCTATCAATCCAAAAATCAAAATTCAATATTGGATGGCCTTGTATAAAAGAACTGAAGCCGAGGCTCCGAGGATTAGGAAACAAAAGAATTATCTATAGCTTACCTGGATCAGCCTCATCTTCAGTTCTTTGGTACATGATATCATGTACCAAAGAACTGAAGATGAGGCATCTGATTTTTCGTATCCGAGTTACAAAATATAGATGGACTGGTCTACGTAGCCCTCGCTAAGCAGGATAAACATCGGCGGAGTAGTTATGACAAATCGTCAAAGACTCGCCAGTGCCGATTAGCGTCATTCTTGGCGTGCAAYTTACGTAATCACCGACATGTTGGATGAAAATCCGACAAAGCATTCCTCATTTTTATCTTAATCAACGTTATAACTTTGATCATTATTTCTCAGGAGATTCCTGATTATGTGGTTTCACACAAAGAATATTTTTAGGAGTTTGGGGAGGATTAATACTAATTGAGATTTGAACACTGTAAACACTAATCACTCGTATAAAGTTTTAAATTCACTGAAATGTCTTAATGTAATATTTTATGTTAAAATAAAAATTTGCAAATGTTACAAAATCAAATTAACACTCTCCTTACATTTACTATTTTAAGAAAATTCTGACAGCTAACATATATATATCGATACAACCTGTATGCAACAATAAGTCAACAGATCTTATTCAAAGCTTGTGAAAAACGCTATATGCGGTTAATCTGCAACCTTATTAAGGGAGAAAGGAGCGAAAACCACAAGGAATTACCCTTCATGCACACGATATGTTTGCGTTCAGAATTTCTGCAAGTGCCTGTATCATATAATATATTTAATTATAAAGTTTCCCATTTATCTAAAACGATTATGCTATGTACATTTTCACAATTCATCCACCCATTCGACAATTTTGTCGTTATAAAAGAGGCCTGACATAATTCACAAAACCTCACTCGGCCAAAGGTGAAAAACATATAAGATTATCCCTCTCTGTCTTTTCTTCTTGCTGATGYCCACCAGGCGCGAAAAACACAGAGTCCCTTCTATTATCTGGGGAGTCGTCAAGGCAGAGTGCCTGGAGCCTCGACGCTGGTGTGAGGTTTGACTTGTTCAACAGGTCTGAGGAATCCTTGAGAGGAGTAAATGACAGAAGAGGTTGATCACAACCAGACGACTCTGGTTTCTTGAGAGAAGGTGACGTGGAATTCTCTTCTTCGTCTGACTCAGAGGAGGTAGAGGGAAGGATGTATTTATCTGGTAAAAATGTTTCCTAGAATGGAAGAGAGAAAAGAAGGAAATTTAGTTCATTTCTATTATCACTACTGAGTGCGATAAAAGAACGCGATATTATACAGTACCTCTTCACTTGAGCTTTGTCTGCCAGAACGCCTCCTAAGCGATCTTCTTTTAGCCACAGATCCTTCATCTTTACTAACAGGGGTGTTCATGCTGCCATTAGGCGTTCCCAAATGTCGTTTACGACATGGCGTCCCTTTACGACTTCTCAGCGACCTTGACCCCGACAGTACCAACGCTGGTGTGTGCCCGGCATCAATAGAACAAGTATCGCCTTGCTCATCAGGTGAGTCAAAAGAAACAGCAACAGGCGTGAATACAACGTTTGTTGGCAGCTTGTTCTTTTGCATGCCTGGAGTGAAGACAATAGCCCCTGGGGTCCCCCCAGCGGTAGAGTGCGCACTTGGTTCTGGTGACTGGAAAAACACGCGAGATGACTTACGAGTTCGTTTGGTGGATGAACGCAGGCAACTACGACGCTTGGATGGCAGCGAGGCTTTTTCATCTTTCATATCTTCATCTGTGGTCTCCGAGGTTCTTTCGCTGACATTACCATCACTGCTATCCTCTAGCAAGTGACTCTCCTCTGTAGTWTTYTSATCCATTTTAATTTCCACTTTTGTTTCTGGTGATTTGTCTTTTCTCATTTCTTCTGGTTTCTTTTCTTCTTTCATCTCAATGTCTTCTATGCTGACATCTTTGGTAGCGGAAGACACAACTTCGGGCGTCAACCGCAATCCAGGACTACTGGTGCTAGAGGCTTTAGGAGTAGAAATCACCTTAGGAGTGGCACGAGATGCTGATTGGTGGATAGGCGTGTTACGTAAAGAGCGTCGTACAGGTGTGAGAATGATATCGCCATGGGAACCTAGAACAATGGTTAAGTAACATTTAGCATCCTATTATCTTTTGCTTTTCATGTAGGGGGGAGAGGTGCGAATGGACATACACAGTGTATGTACGATCTCAAAAAATTCAGCTGAAGAGTCCTTCTTGACAAGACAAAAACAAGAGCATTGAACGAAAAAATCAAATGTCCATCACTTTTCGGGGAAGAATGGTTAGTAAATATTTACCTGAGTTCTTGTTCTTTTTCACTGGTGTCAAAACAGTTATGAATGAACATTCCTTTGGAAAAAA